GATTTTACACCAAACTTTTTTAAAGATTTTTCAGTTAAAAAGAAAACTACACCTGGAGCAGGAAAATAAAAAGAATTGAATGCTCTCTGCTTTCTTCACACACTTCTACTGTGTGAAATACAGAATTCAGAAAACTCGGATATGCTGAGCAGCTAAGTTCAGAGTCCACGTGTGACTTAACTGCTTAGCATCCAGTTCAGCCTATGAAAATCTCTGTCAACTCATTCATGTAGTACTTATATCCGGTTATGAATACATGATCTAAATGTTCGTTTCAACTATGCAGGGTATAAACTGGTTTGTTTGTTTGTTTGTTTGTTTGTTTGTTTGAATGAATTACTTATGTGACCAACAGCATACCAGGGACACAGAAAAACAATGAAACAGAGCAGAACAGAAAGGTGTGGCGGTCACAATAATAAATATCTCCATATAAGAAAATAGTGCAAATCTACAACACTAAGCCTGTCAACACTCCACAATGCCTTAAAGTAGCTCCAGTGCCTCTGCTTGTCAGTGCAGCATAAAATAACAGAAGTCCCAGACTTTCAGGTAAGACTTTTGTGCTTAATGGCTGAGAGGACATGAGGTCACCAAGAACAGGAAGGAAAAAAAAGATGAGAGCAATGGCTCAGAGGCTAGGAGGTGTTGACAAAAAGCTCGGCATCATTTTTCCTGTCTTAACGCAGACAGGAAGTTCCGGCTGACTAAAACAAACCCTGATCCAGCAGCTGGCTGTTAAAGAAAAGAACTTTAGCAGAGTGGATAATTATTCCACACCTTGATTGATGGTTAATTGTACCTCTTGGATGATTCTTTTTTAACAAGTATGAGAAATGTAAAATAATCCCTGAAGTGGGTGAATTATCTTATCGTTTGTGCAATATTGTTAAAGAGACAAAACACACCGTTAAACTTTACTTAGGTAAGGACCTCTGTTTGTGTTGTATTTAAGACCTTTAAACTTCTCCTCAGGCTTTAAGATGCCAGCAATTTTTGTTTTCAAATTATTTGTATTGGTTTGGTGATGCTATTTTGACTGCATTATTTTCCCAGATTACTGCAAGAAATAGCATCTTATCCTGTCAAGCTCTTATTTTTTCTGTAATTCTGTTTTTTTAATAAGCATCATTAAATGATGTAGCTCTGCCTCCCGTTACTTTACTGAACAAGCATTTGTTTCAGAATTAAACTGATCATGGACTGACCTGTTTCACTTCACAGATATAAATTCAAACCTCTGAGCATGCATTTCATCTTAATTCTGATACAAAGTATATATTATAATGTTTAGCTGTTACTTGACTTCTGCACAGCCTCACCTTAAAGTAAAAGCTGAATCACTTTAAGGAAAAAAATCTTAAAAGCATATTTATTTTGTGTAAAGCTGATCATTTTTTTACAGTAACTCAATTCTGCAACCTGTCTGCTGTCTCCCCTTTGTGGACAATTAGTGTATTAACACTTTGATGCCATGTGTGGGCAGATTTTGACATGTTGTATAATCATAGTCAGTTTTATTTGAGCTTAGAGCTCTCTGTGAAATCACTGTGGCTGCTGTCAAACTGTTACTGGAAGATTGTTTTTAATAGAGCAGCCACAGACTGCCACGATGATCCAAAAAA